CAAATTCAAGTCCAAAACATGCCAAATCTCACCCAATACAACAAAATGACTTGAATCATGGAAAATGCCAAGCAATGGCACAAAGGAGCCCTAAACACAAACTCTAGATATGCAATATCACAAGACAAATGCATAAACCCTCACATTTCATAGCAAAACACATGTAGAATCCAAGAAATCACATATAGGTAAGCAAAATAGGTTTTGTAGAGCATGTATTACCTCTTGAAGACCAAAAGACTTCACTTTACACCACAACAAGCTCCCCACAAGGCTTACTTTCCAAACTCACTTCAAGATTAAACCAAAAGATCATAAAGATCCTACCTTTAAGAAAAAGACAACTAAGATGGAACCAAAAACACAAGATGAACTTAGATCTTACCCTCCTAGATGCCCAAATAGGTGAAAGGTTGAATCTTGGAAGCAAATCTTGGAATCTTGACAAGGGTCTCAACTTCGCTTGGAGAATAAGCTACACTTCTTTTCTAGAGAGAAGGTAGAACTATTTTCTAGGAATTGTAGGGAATGAAATGAAGAAGTTTTCTAGGTTAGGTTACAATACTAACTCTTGGTGAAAAGACAATAATACCCTTACTAACCCTTAGAAAGTGTAAGGAACAAGGGAACTCCCCTCAAAGCACAAGGTACAACACAACTTAAAGGTTGACTAGTCAAATTCTAGTCCTTAAGTATTTAAAATCAGGATTTTAGGAATTAATTCCTCAAATAAAAAATAGGATTAATTACTCAATTAATCCATGGATTGAATGTGGATTTTTGGGGTGTCACACTATGAATGACAAAAGATGACACATCCTCTCTCACCACATCCCAATAATGCTGATAAAACCTTGGATTCTTCCCATCAGGTCTTGGGGCTTTATCAGGAAACATAGAGAACATGGCTGACTTGTTCTCCTCTAAACCAAGCGGTTGTAGAAGAGACTCATTATCAAGTTGGGTGACACGAGGCGCAACAGAACAAAAGAAGGGAACATCACAGGTAGAGCCCCTAGACCGGAAGATATTATCAACATAATCCAAAACAAGAGAATTCATTGCAACACCCTCAACCCAAGCCCCAGAATCATTTTTCAGCTTAGTAAGAATATTCTTCTTTTTATGAGAAGAGGTATACCTGTGAATGAATTTTGTATTCGCATCTACCCCCTTTAGCTAGTGTTGTTTTGCATGTTGCCGCCAAAACACATCTTCCTGCGCTTCTAGAGATTCAGTTGTATCTCTAACTGTTAGAATTCAGCCAAGGCGATTGGATCCCTACGGCCTCTCAAATGAACTTGTGGAAGTGCTCCCCCACCTAGCCAACCGCTCCCCATACAGATGTAGGTAACCCAAAAAGCTATTCGCCTTCCCATCCTCCCATGCACCCTCAACAACCTCCCTACATCCATCGTCCAGAACCCAAGACATCTCGAATTTAAATCCACCCCCTCTTCCCCCACCTCGAAATCATGCACCACACACATCTAGGAATAAAGCCAAGTGATCAGAAGAGCGGGTATAGATGTTTTCCATAGTCGCACAGCCCCGCATTTCTCTCCAACTTTCACTTGCCAGAACCTTATCCAGCCTTTCCTCAATCAAATCCACAGTGTTCCTCCTCTCTCCCACGTGAATTGGTAAACCCTTAAAGGCAATTGAGACAAACCACAATCCTCCATAGCTTCCCCAAAACTGCGAAGGAAGCTATCGGGATGGGGGTTCCCTCCACGCTTCTCGTGCTCATACAAGAGATCATTGAAATCCCCTACAACAACCAAAGAAAGCAACGCTCTACCAGCTAGGGATCTAAGAAAATCCTACGACTCCCATCTCCTGCTACGCTCCACATCAACATGATTCTTCGAATAACTTAAAAGCCTTGTTATATTGTTTCGTCTTCACAACAAAGCTAAACTACCACTCAAACCAACACTGTCATCATAAAAAGGGCCATCGAAGCCAAGCTTGAAACAGAGACACTCTGCGTGTATTCGCCCCACTTTGGTTTCCATTAAAAAAGAAACCTCGGGCTTCTTACGGGACACCAGGTCCACAATTTCTCGAACTGTGTGTGGATTGCCCAAGTCACGACAGTTCCAACTAATTGTACTCATAATGATGGGCGGGCCTGGGAGACAGAACCCGTCGAGAACAAATTTTTTGAATCCTCAATCATCGTAACATCACCTCCCACCGCCCCTTGCGTCTACTCCCAATACCATAAACCTCCCTACGCATTTTCGTCACTGCCACAACAGCGACATCCTCTTCCCGTCAACCCACCGCCTAAGCGACATCAACTGCTAGCACACTACCACTCTTTGTCGGCATCGTAGCCTCCACTGCCTTCCCCTTCCCCTCCAACTAGGGGTGGAAATAGGCCGAGCCGAGCCGAACTTTAGAAAATTAGGCCTGGGCTTGTTACGAAAATCTAAGGCTAGGTGTAACACCCTAAATTTTGAGATATTTAAAACTTATAAAATAAAGGCGGATGTATCAATTAAATCCCAAACAGAGCATAAAGACATTTATAAGTGTCAGGGTGATATGCCACACCTAGGTTTGAGAACCTAAGTGCACAGGCTAAACTAACCAAGCATAATGAATCCTCAAATCAATATTCAAATACAATCCCAAGGCACGGAGGCCAACTACTGTGCAAAGGCTATTTAAGCTAGGTCTAAGGTTTTGACTAGCGCGTTCTGGAGCTAATGCTCATCACCTGAAAAACATTCGGTATAACAACCATCAGCGAATAATGCTGGTAACCCACTCCAACGCGTTAAGTACAATATAGGTAGATATAAGAAACTCATTTTGAAACTGGAATACATATATACTTACGGGACTCTAGTTTAAATCCAAGATCAAGACTCAAGACATATTTAACAGACTCAACATTATAGAATAATCATATGAACTAACAGACATCCAAATGCACATAAAACAAGACGGGATAGGCAGACAAGCATACGAATAACAAGTAGAGGCGCCTCCATATAATCAATTAGCAAGTAGTCTAACAAAGCACACAGTTCATACTCCAACCTTATACCAAGTTCCAACCTTGTAGCTCCCCTCCATCCTTATATCAGTTAAAACCTATACCTCCAGGCCACCCTTATATCACCACCCATTCAATGATCCGCACCTCTAGTGCCAATATCAAGGGGTTAGTGCATCTAGCTCTAACAATACACCGCAACACTTATAACTTGACCCATGCTCAACGGCAAGCTAGTCGAAGGTGGGTGTGTGCCTTCAACACAGTCACCGCTATGGCCTGTACCTTTAGTACAATGACCAGGCACAAGTTGTGCCAATCTCCAACAATTCATTTCCACCAATCACAATCTCATCATCAACGTCATCATCAGTCACTCTGGCCATTGCACAATGACCACGATACTCATCATCATTCAATCAATCAACACATAGTCACATAACAATCAAGACACAACAACAACGACACGTATTACACATAAAATCCTATAACGATACCCAAAACACCAAACGAGACTCATGCACGACAAACAGGGTACAACGGGACATGGGGAAACAACAAATGGGGGAAAACATCACGGACTATACCCACTTTCCAGCGGGTGGGCGGCGGGTGGTGGACCACCTGTCGGCGGTGGCTACAGTTCCAGCGGGTGCCCTGCGGGCAATCGCCTGCCCACTGGAAATTGAGGCAAGGGGCAGCAGGCAGGTCGCGGGCACCCCTGTCCCCACCTACCCCCCACTGACTCACAGGCAACTTTCGATTCCGATATCACTTGTGGAACCCGAAACCATGTCCAGACACATTCAAACACATAACGACATTACCACGTATTCAATTAACGGATTAAACCAAGAATTACACCAAATACCTTCTAACACGATTCCTAAACATGCCAAGACTTCACATTAATCAAATAATGGTTCAGGAGCATCCAGAACCACAAGAATATCAAGAAATCTATATGCAAAGTCCTAAACACAAGTCCTAAGCTAGACTCAACACCCCATCATGCATAATCCCACCCAAATATACCCCGAACATCATAATACGAGTTTAACGATATAACCCTAGGGCTCTAGACATAATCAAAATACAAGATCGTTCATATAGCCAGTCATAATATCAAGAACATCAAGATTATCACATAAACACAATATAAACCCTAAGCAAAGCTCTATCAAGACTCAAACACAGAATCATATATCAAAGGAGCCAAAGAATAAGATATAGCAAGGAAATAGGTTTTTTCGAGACATGGGTTACCTCTTAGCCTTAATTAATCCTCCCTTGGCTATTAAGGTTCTTCTCTAAAATTTCCCTCCGGTCGATCTCTCTAGGCTCGGTGGTGGTAGAAATCTCTTGGGAATAATCTTGTGTAATGCAACTATGGGTGGTAAGGGTTCTAACTGCTTTCTAATCCCCTATTTATGGAGTTAGGAATCCTAATCAGAGTCTGGATAGTAACGACCTATGTTTTATTCCTTAGTAGGTCTATAGGTCTAGGATTCCTAATTAGAATATGACTGGTAAAGGGTCTACTCTCTTTATTCCCAATAGGCTTAAGGCTCGGGTCTACGATCTATAGTGGACCACATTAATTAATTAATGGGAATCCTAACCAATTTAAACCCTTTCTAATTATTATTAACGGTATTGATTAAATAATTAGTCTGGGATTGAAGACTGTAACACGAGGTGTTACACCCTCCCCACCTTACAAGGAGCTTCGTCGAAGCTCAGGTACATATTACTCCCTTATTCTTATATGTCATGCAATTTGGTCTCCTGATTAAGGAAATGTGGCTCAAATTTGTCGTTTAACAAGTGTAGAGTGAGGTTTGATTTGGTCGGTGGTAAGTAGGGTTTGAGATTTTGAGTATACCTTGGTTTCCCATCCCCGAGCATGAAGCTCCACGCATGCCTGACATGGTCTCGATAGCCGCCACTCTCCTTTCCAATGAGCTCGTCACGAAAATCAAGGACGAGAATCCCTCATCCTTGATCCGATTCTGTCTCATGAGTTGCGTGAGGATGCGCTCATTGGTGGACCTCTCATCTCGGGCTTCCGTGATTCCCCTTCCTTATGCGGGTTCAGGCTAGCTAGGCTCGCTTTATTCTTCCTGCTCCTCCTGCTCTTGGATTTCTTGCATTGCCCGTCTCATTTTCTTGTTGGAGATTTCCAACTGATCCACTAATACCCGTCGTTCTTTAAGGGATTTCAGGCAAACCTCCTCGAGGGTGATGTATTGTCCCTCTCCGACATAGTAGATGTCGTTGCGGCGGAGGTTTTGGGCATTGAAAGTCATCCCACCCATGGGCCTGGCCTCAGTCCGGCTTATGTCCACTCCCTTCTTTTCCATGATCTAGCTTAGGATCATCCCGTAGGGTAGACTGAGCCGGTTGCTAGATTTACAAAATTCTATGTGCTTCAACATAAGTGCGGGGAAGATGAACTTGACCTTATGCTTAAGGAAATAGGCAAAGGTGCATTCCAAGCTCCCCAGATCCTTACTCTTGTTGTTAGTGGGCAACAAGCTGTCGGACACAATCATAACTAGCAGTTTCTGTTCGGCGGTTAGCTATTTCTTGATTGGCCTTGTGGCCGAGGTAAAGCCTCCTTCTCTTCCCAACAAATACACAAGGTAATCCTTGTACCCCGTGTCTTGGGTGCTGACCCAGGCCTTTCGGTCATAGTCTGACACGCCCGTGGCGGTCAATTTCAGGAGTTTAGCCAAGCGGCCCTCGGAGAGCACTATCTCTTTGCCTCGGACTTTGGAGGTGATCTCCAACTTGTCCCCTCGTTTGGTGGCTACCAAATGACAATTGAATTCCTTAACCAACTCGGGATACGTATCCCCTTTAATTCTGAGGTAGGTATCCAAGAGGCCTTGGAATCTAAGCATATCAACCAACTCCGGAGAGAATTGGTCGGGTTCGAGTGCTTTACCTCCAATCACCATGTAGTCAGCATCGTTCCATTCCGGGACTCGGGTACCGACGGGCTTCTTCGGCATTACTTGGAGTGGTTACGGTTGAGGGTGGCTTTTCCGGCTACTTTTCCGGCGACCTTCCAGTGGGAGTTCCGGCGAGCTGGGCGATAGAGTGGTGCGGCGTGGCGTCGACGGCGGAGTTCTAAGGTTGCGCCGGTTGGTGGTGGCGTGACGTTCGGCTACGACTACGGTGGAAGGGCGGCGTCTATCGTGTCGGCGTGTAGCGGCGGCAGTGGTGCCCTGCCCAGGTGACCGGTGTCGCGGCGGGTAGTGGGGGCAGCGGGTCTCCGGCGGGCACTGGCCGGGCGGTTGCTGGGCGGTCGACGGTGGCGCGACGGCACGAGGTTGAGGGCTTTGGGTGGTGGTGGCGGTGTTTTGTCGAGAGAGAGGAGGGAGAGGGAGAGAGAAAGGGAAAGTGGGAGGAAGAAGATGGAGAAGGGTTTTTGATTTGGGGATTTTGGGTTTTAGGAATTTGGAGGGGGTTTAAGGAGGTTGTGTCCCCTTTGGGTTTTAGGAAAAACTTATGGTCTAATGGTTAAGGCCTTGGTCTTATACCTAAAAAGTTTAAGGTTCAATTCTTATTGGTGACATTGTCCCCTTTAGTGCATTCTTTTTATGCTTTTGAGGACTTTCCTATTATTTGTTTGGTCGTGGGTGGCAAGCATCCCGGTTAGGTTTTCTAGTTGTATCCTTTGATTTTGTTGGTTTCGGGATGTGTAGATTATGGAAGGCATGAAATTTTAATCCTTTAATTAACCCGAGGGGTGGAGCAAGAGGGATGTAAACGGATTAAACTAATTAACTTTGGCCTTTATTCAAAAGTACGAGAACTCCTAAATAATCGAACTAAATAAGCGATTATACTAAAAGATAGTTTACAAGGGCTCGTAGTTTATCCTGAGCAGAATTCCTCATCCAGATTCTCTTCCAGTTGATTCGTGGGGTCCTAGTCTCCTAGAGTCACGTTTTCCGCGTCGATCTCGGCTTCGGCTTCGAGGTTGGCCTGGGTGCAGCTAATGACGAATACCTTTCCGGGTACCCCGTAATTCCCCTGATTATTCGTGTTTCCTTGTTGGGCCATGACTGTAGGCTTTGTGCTTGGGGTTGAGTACATTGGAAGGCCTTATGTCCTTCTCCCCCGCAGTTGAAGCATCGTAAGGCGTTTCCGAGATAGTCCTTGCCTCTATGGTCCTTATTACATTTTCTGCAAAGGAATGTTCTCGTGTAGGTTTCGTTGTTCCTCATGGACGATCCTTGATTAGGTGGATTAACCGTCCTTGTGTTAGAGTCGTTCCTTGCTCTTTTCACAGGCGGTCCCCCATTCCCAGTATTCCTTTTGCGGATTTGTTCCTGAACTCCTCGTTGTAGAAGTTAGATCCGGTAGAGGTCGGCGGCGCTGGTGTAAGCCCCGTTAAGGGTTCTGGGCTTACTTACGATTAGAGCTTTTAGAGCTTCGAACTTGAGGCCTGACACAAACTTCTCTATTTTGGTTGTCTCTGTAGGCACCAATTCAGGTGCAAAACGAGCTAGCTCAAGAAATCGTTTGTGGTATTCCATGACCGTGGCCATCCCCTGTTTTAGGTAGAGAAATTCTTTGTACATAGCTGCCGCGGGGTAGAACCGTCCACGTAGTCGTGCCTTTAAGGATTCCCATTTGAATCCCGCTTCTTGCCTACAAGTAGGTCCTTCATGGACCCACCAAAGATCAGCTTCATGCCCGAAGTAGAACGTGGCTAATTCCACACGGCGTCCTTCCAGGCACTCCACAACCTCGAAGATCTTGTCGAATGTTCGGATCCATTCTTCGAGAGTCGTGGGATCTTCTTCCCTTGAGAAGATAGGCGGGCGATTGCTCGAGACTTGGCGAGCTATATCTGAGTTTCCGTTTGGCGACGGCGGTCGGTTGTTGTTATGGAGGATGGCGTTGCTCAGTGTCTGGGCGACCTGAGTCAGTTGTTCTAGGTTCTAAGTTAACGAATCGTGGACAGAAGGCTCGGGGGTTCTCGACTGACTCCTTGTTGGTGCCATTCTGGTGTCTACAGGGTCAATATCGATTGCAATGGTGAGTTTAGGGACTTGTATCCTTACTTTGATGTCATAGTTTTATAGGGGCCTTTAAGCTAAGTACAAAATAGATTAAGGGAGTAGTTAAGCAGATAATGTTAAATAAACTCACAGCCTCACCGCGTGTCCTAGACTTCCTAAATCCTAAGTATTTAAGCACCTAGAGTTCAAGTCTAATATCCTAAAGTTCTTTCCTAAACACTTAGAATTGCAGCCTAATGTCTTAAAGTCTTATCCTAAGGGCATTGTCCTAGGGTCGAACTTAGGCTCTAATACCAACTGTAACACCCCTAAATTTTGAGATATTTAAAACTTTATAAAATAAAGACGAATCTATCAATTAAAACCCAAACAGAGCATAAAGCCATTTATAAGTGTCGGGGTTCTATGCCAGACCTAGGTTTGAGAGCCTAGGTGCACAGGCTAAACTCACCAAGCATATTGAATCCTCAAATCAATATTCAAATACAATCCCAAGGCACACATGCCAACTACTGTGCTAAGGCTATTTAAGCTAGGTCCAAGGTTCTGACTAGCGCGCTCCGAAGCTAATGCTTATCACCTGAAAAACATTCGGTATAACAACCGTCAGCGAATAATGCTGGTAACCCACTCCAACGCGTTAAGTACAATATAGGTAGATATAAGAAACTCATTTTGAAACTAGAATACATATATACTTACGAGACTCTAGTTTAAATCCAAGATCAAGACTCAAGACATATTTAACAGACTCAACATTATAGAATAATCATACGAACTAACAGATATCCAAATGCACACAAAACAAGACGGGATAGGCAGACAAGCATACGAATAACAAGTAAAGGCGATGAAGGCACTCAATATAATCAATTAGCTAGTAGTCAACAAAGCACACAGTTCATCCTCAAACCTTATACCAAGTTCCAACCTTGTAGCTCCCCTCCGTCCTTATATCAGTTCCAACCTATACCTCCAGGCCATCCTTATATCACTACCCCTTATGTCTCCAGGCAACAACATGCCCCCACCGACTAACCACATATCTACCACCAACATGACACTGCAGCACTTATAACCTGACCCATGCTCAACGCCAAGCTAGTCGAAGGTGGGTGTGTGCCTTCAGCACAGTCACCACTATGGCCTGTACCTTTAGTACAATGACCGGGCACAAGTGGTGCCACCTCCAACAATTCATTTCCACCAATCACAATCTCATCATCAACGTCATCATCAGTCACTCTAGCCATGCACAATGACCACGATACTCATCATCATTCAATCAGTCAACACATAGTCACATAACAATCAAGACACAACAACAACGACACATATTACACATAAAATCCTAGAACGATACCCAATACACCAAACGAGACTCATACATGACAAACGGGGTACAATGGGACACAACGGGACATGGGGAAACAACAAACGGGGGAAAACATCACGGACTATACCCACTTTCCAACGGGTGGGCGGCGGGTGGAGGACCACCCGGCGGCGGCTACAGTTCCAGCGGGTGCCCGGCAGGCAGTCGCCTGCCCGCTGGAAATTGGGGCAAGGGGAAGTGGGCAGGTCGCGGGCACCCCTGCCCCCATCTACCCCCGACTGACTCACAGGCTACTTTCGGTCCCGGGATCACTCGTGGAACCCGAAACCATGTCCAGACACATTCAAACACATAACGACAATAGCACGTATTAAATTAACGGGATTAAACCAAGAATTACACCAAATACGTTCTAACACGATTCCTAAACATGCCAAGACTCCACATTAATCAAACAACGGTTCAGGAGCATCCGGAACCACAAGAATCTCAAGAAATCTATATGCAAAGTCCTAAACACAAGTCCTAGGCTAGACTCAACACCCGATCATGCATAATCCCACCCAAATATACCCTGAACATTATAATACGAGTTTCACGATATAACCCTAGGGCTCTAGACATAATCAAAATACAAGATCGTTCATATAGCCAGTCATAATATCAAGAAGATCAAGATTATCACATAAACACAATATAAACCCTACGCAAAGCTCTATCAAGACTCAAACACAGAATCATATATCAAAGGAGCCAAAGAATAAGATATAACAAGGAAAATAGGTTTTGTCGAGACATGGTTACCTCTTAGCCATAATTAATCCTCCCTTGGCTATTAAGGTTCTTCTCTAAGATTTCCCTCCGGTCGATCTCTCTAGGCTCGGTGGTGGTGGAAATCTCCTGGGAATAATCTCGTGTAATGCAACTATGGGTTTTAAGGGTTCTAACTGCTTTCTAATCCCCTATTTATGGAGTTAGGAATCCTAATCAGAGTCTGGATAGTAAAGACCTATGTTTTATTCCTTAGTAGGTTTATAGGTCTAGGATTCCTAATTATAATCTGTCTGGTAAAGGTCTATTCTCTTTTTCCAAATAGGCTTAAGACTCGGGTCCACGATCTATGGTGGACCACATTAATTAATTAAAGGGAATCCTAACCAATTTAAACCCTTTCTAATTATTATTAACGGTATTGATTAAATAATTAGTCCCGGATTGAAAGCCGTGACACGGGGTGTTACTCCCAGGCTTAGGCTCGAGCCTGTATGTAGTCTTTTTGTTAGGCTCAAGCCTGAGCCTACAATTAGCCTGGCCCAAAACCTTTTTAAAAGTTTGTTTAATATGTAGCCCATTAAAAAGGCTTCAAAGTATGTTATGCTTTGAGCCTATTTAAAACTTATATATTAAGTCTTTTTGAAAACTTTAATAAGTATTTCTAAATAATTTAAGAAATATACCTAGTTAATACAAAATTAATATATAACTACATAAGTATATCAAGACAAGGCAAACATAATAGTATTAAAACATATATAAAATAAAATAAAACAAGTCACAACTTCTACATGCTTGTTAACTTGTTTAGGAATGAATTCAATTGTATTATTGATTGTCATCCTATATAATCTCATAAATAGGTTAACAATCAACTCACATAATTAAGTAGTGACACTTCATTAAATATTTAATAGTAAGAACAATTAAACAATAAGAACACTATCATAGGATTAACAACAATGTTTGTAGTTGAATTAGAATTTAGAATGCGATTTTGGAGGTGGAGGGTTAGGGTTTGATAATTATATATACTTGGAATTATATTGTAAATATAAAAATATATTAAGTATAAACTAGAATATATACTAACTTGATAAATTATATATATGTGTGTAAATAGGTTATGCCTGTAGTCGTAAAGGCCGAGCTTGATATAAATAGGCCTGGGTTGTTTAGTTTAATAGGCTTCAAAATAGGCCCAAACCTGACCTTTTTACTAAACAAGCCAGGCCTATGTAGGACTTAAATAGGTCGGGCCTTAGGCCCCTAGAAAGGGGCCTGGCCTATTCCAACACCTACCTCCGACGTAACCAACCAGGGGACCCCAACAGCCCTTAGTCTATGTTTCGCCCCAGCCCACAGGCCTGCCCCGAACGGATACTGATCAAATGGAATGGCCGCACCCCTCGCTTTTTTGCAAAATTTATATGAGTGCCCCAATAAACCATAGTAGAAACAGAAGTTATGAAGGCGCTTATAGGGGCGACCACGGTTCCGGTTCCGGTTCCGTGGATGGTGAAACCGAAACCGGAACCGAAACCTTATAGTTAGGTTCCGGTTCTAACCGAAATTATTTTTAAAAAAACAAAAAAAAAAAACACTATAATATTCGAATTTTTTCGGTTTGGAACCGGCGGTTCCGGTTCCTTTTCATCTCAAACCGTAACTGGAACCGGAACCGTACGAACGGTTTGGTTCCAGTTCCGATTCAACAGTGCACGGTTCGGTTCGAACCGAACCGTGGTCACCCCTAGGCGCACATACTTGAAATTCACCCAGCAACTCGACTTATCCCGTTTAATGAGCTTCATACGACATTTTAGAGGCCTGGCCACCGGAATCGAGACACGGACATGATAGAAGGACTTCCATGGCGCCACCGCAAACCTATCATCAACCTTAACAAATGAGCCGATGAAGTTGCCGGCTGATGTTATCACATCTGTGCATATTTTTATAGCTTTTCTGATTCATTTTTAGTAACAAAGTTATTGAATCGTGGCTATTTAATACTTGTTTTTCTTGCTTTCTCGTTAGAATATGGTTTTACACTTGTTTTGAATACCTTACGGTGTTTGGTAGTGTTTTTTCACCATTACAGGCTAAGTGTAAAAGCAAGGGAAGAATTTCAAGCACGAAAGGATCAAAAGAGGAAGAAGTCAAGGTATCAAAGCCGCGACGCGTAGAGCCCGCTGCTCGACGCGTCGAGAATTTCCAATAGCAATAGTTCGTGCCGGATCACAGGCTCGACGCGTCGAGATCGCGGAATGCTGAATATTTGGAATCTTCCTAAAATAATTCCATTGGGTTGCTACTATAAAAGGATCATCTTCCATCAACCCTAAAGGTTATTCTTTTCCCAGATTTTGGTGTTTGGAAGACAATCAAGAGTAAAGCACAAAGAGGACCAATTTGAAGATTTATAACTAGCTTTGGAATAGAGAACTGGCTAGAAAGATTCGGGAGAACTCTTTCACTCTTTCTCTTATTCCCTTTGTTATTTGTTTATCTTTAAACGTTGTATCGATTGTTATTATGGCCATGAGTGGCTAAAACCCTTAGGGATTTTTGGGTGAATTTGTTTATGAACCTATGTGCCTAGTTCGTTAATTTCTTAATATATTTATGTTTGGTTTTATGATTTGTGTTGCAATCGTGTTTTAACCTATTGTTGTTGGTAATTAAAGGTCTAAATTACTTGCTTCATAACCATTTTTTGTGTCACCAACGAGAGTTGTGTCATAAATTAGGGCACTCAAGATTGCCCCTAATGGTTGGACGTTGAGAAAGGGGAATTTATTAGGGGAAGCTTATTCTAGATTGTTGCGCATCGAGAGATGGTAGTAATTGGGAATAATTGAATGCTGATCTTCGATCTTATCGGGTGTTTAAGCCACGGGAGTGGAAATTCACTAGGGGTAGAAATTACGGGAGTAATTCTGTTCCACTTTGCATTCCCATACAAGTCTTAATTCCAAACTAAATATTACAAATGTTAATTGGCACTAGGTGATTAAACATTGTGATCCTAAGAATCCTGTTTTGCTCTCTTGTTTACAAAACCTTGTTATTTATTTTATTCTTCTTGTTATTTTATGCAATTACCCAACCTTCAAGTTTCGTTCGGACTAGTTTCATATGAGTAACCTAGTAGGTAGTGCTTAGTACCCCATCTCCAGTGGTTCGACAACCCGAATACTCCGGGTATTATTTGTTTGCCCCAAATTACCGCAACCACCGGCCTGTTCAAGAATCGAGTCTAACGTATAACCCAGTGGTAGGTCATGAAGTTGAACCCACATGTCCACCGAGTCAAGAGCCACATCCGCCGGTCGAACACCTTCCCCAACCTGCTTGCAGACAAAGGTGTTGTTGTCGAACGACCACGGAACGTCCTCCAAAACCCTTTGCATTAAGATATGACAATCATGAGACTTTGAACCAACCAACTTCAAGTCTTTCAATGACACAAGTTTTTTTTTTTTTTTTTTTTTAATGTCTGGAAAATAACCTGAAGAAACCTTGACATCATTTAAATACCCACAAAAAAAACTTATTTTTCCCATTTAGACATGGTATAACAAGCTAGAGGTAAATACGTCCGCTTTCTTTAATCTTGTGGTGCCAACTGATCACAGATCCCAATTTCTATAATATATTTTCTTGCTTTAATACAATCATTTGTCTTACCCTAAATTTTCAATAGTGTCCGCACAATAATGTCTCAAACATTTTTCTCCACATAGATGCTCTCCATATGGTAGATTCCAAAATATTGACATCTTCTTCCAAAGACTCTTTTGAATAGTCCTACAAGTTTTACCCAAATAAACATTAAGATTTTTGACTGGTTCATAAACCACAGTTCTTGATAATGGCAATCGGGCTACTTGAGTGTCGATTTTTCTATGAGCAATGTCGAATGACTCATTA